TGAAACAACCCCTGGACTGATCTAAGTCAGGGCATGGCTAACTCACAGATAGAACCCTGAAACAACCCCTGGACTGATCTAAGTCAGGGCATGGCAAGCTCAAAGATAGAATCCTGAAACAACCCCTGGGCTGATCTAAGTCAGGGCATAGCTAGCTCAAAGATAGAACCCTAAAACAATCTCTGTGGGCTGATCTAAGTCAGGGCATGGCTAACTCATAGATCAAACTGGCTTTGGGGAGGGAGGAAAACCCTAACACTTGGATAAAGATGGATAAAGAATCAAAAGAGCCAACGAAAAGACTCACACATGGTGCCAAGGAATAAAACACAAGACCCCAGAGATGTTTAGTACATTGTAAACATGTGCACTTATGTAATACTTACATGATCATCTGAAGCACTTAACAAGTGACCATTGACATTTGGATTCCATGACAGACCATAACCCTCTTTAGTGTGTCCCTTGAGGCGTAGGTCAGGATTACACTCGCCATTAGGATCTACGACATTACATATTAGTTCTTAGATAACATGTTCTTGTTCATTCATCGCCATCGCCGATTGGCACAGAGCACAGCTCGTATCAGATCAGCACTGGGTTTTCAATGCTTGTTAAACTAAGGGTGCTTTTCATGAAGTCAAACCAGTCAGTCAGAGTGGTCAGTTCTAAAATGATATGTGTCAGTTCCTAGAACTGGTTTGGACAATGTTGGTCCAGTTCTAATAATCGTCATGTACCATTAAATTTTGAAAACTGGCTGCTTGGAACGATCTGTTTTACTTAATGGAAAGCGCCCTTATTAATATCCTACTTTTATATAAACTGAACTAGATACCTGGTTTAGATGGGTGCTTTGTGTAGTCAAACACAAGAACGTCTGCTGTTGGTGTCTTTGTTGCAATGATACAAGGGTTTTGAGGCATGAAACGAGCTCTGAAGGAAACAACAAAGATATGTTCAAAATTCTAGTGCAAAAAATAATGGTTATTAATCTTACTTTTCAATATAAACATACAAGGAAAATGATCTGCAAAGTCTGTGAAATTACAATACATTATGCGCCAAATCAAAATATGGTGACCAACCTAAGTAACTATTGTTCTGCACTGACAAGCGACTGAGTAGCCTTGTGTTCACATAGCAACATAAAAGCGTTTTCATATGTATGAGAGGCTAGTCTGTCGCTAGTCAGTGCAGAATAATAGCTTTTCAAATTGGTCTAAATCTAGACTAGATCAGAATAATAATATATCAAGAGTAATAATAAATTATATTTTAGTATATTTATGATAAGGCAGGGTTTTTATTAAGTTTTGAAATTATATAAGAAAATCATGCAMAGTTTAAGCCAGAGATTTTTGCTAAGTTACCAGAGTGTTCTCCGTCATTGCCGACCATTAATGAAAACCCTGATAAGATGCTTAATTAAAAATCTTACCTATTTACTTCTCCTTCATGGTTTATTCTTATTTCTATTTCAATTTTTCCGCTAACTGAACCAAAACCTCCAAATTCTGTAAATAAAATACATAATTAGTACAATATTCTTTAGCTAGTGTACAAAATTTTTTCAAAACATCAAATTGGGATCAATGTTACACCCTTTACCAATATAAAGCTTAGGGAATAGACCTTTTTACCAATGTCGTGACTATCTTGAATTCTACTGTTTTAATTATGACATTATTGGATGCCAAGTGGGCAACTATTGGAAAATCTATAGACTGCACAGCTGTCTGGGTGCTTTCTATATCACTTTACACTTTTCAATGAGAAGCACATCTAAAAAGCGATTGAATTTGCTGGTAGTTGGAACAATATGCAAAACACCACTGTGACTTCAAATTATTTGAAAATGCAGCCCACCTAATCTGCTTTATGAATTTTCTACAGGTTTGTCTCCTTGCCAAACCATATTTTAAGATGGCCATCATATCAGTATAAAAGTCTAATTTTTTTCATGTCYTCGTACCTCCTTTTTCACTGTCATAATGACTAGCATCAAACTGAGCATCATCATTGGGTAACTGTACACTGGCTATTACTACATGGTTCTGTTCATCAGACCTGTCAATACAAAGTTTTAAAACCTTAAAACTTGTAATTTTTTATTATTTGAGCTCTCGTGAAACAAGCAAACAACTAACAAATAAGTTCAACTTACGTATGTGTCCCAAGAATAAGACGATGGACTGAATAATCTTTGCCTTCAGGTCTACAAGAAAATATCAGAAAAAATTAGGTAATAAAGTTTGTAACTAAGAAAACTATGTCTTTAAGATAGATTTGGTTTAGTCTGCACTAGTCATACCCACTACAGAAAGGGGTATACCTGTAAAATTCTTAAGAGAGAACCCTTTGACATACCTCCCTTTTACCTTATCCCAAAATATCCATCTTATGTTCGACAACGGAGGGACATAAAAGAACCTCCGAGGACATAAAGAAACCCTGCCATTGACCACCCTCAGTGCCTCCACTTCATATTAACCATCTCTCATGCTTGTAAATTGTATAAAAAGCAATCTGTTATTCACTCAATGTAAAGCGCCTTTGATTATATCAATATAGAAAGAGCGCTATATAAATCATAAATCATTATTGTTATTATCCCATTCCCTTCCCCTTAATTTAATTTGATTTGTGTGACGAGGTATGGATGTTTTCTTTCAAACTTCAAAATATCCCAAACATGAAATCTGATCCCAGTCTTCTTTTCATTTTGAAAGTATGACAAAAGAATTTCGAGTGCTTTGAAATTTCAACTGTTTTTCTTCATTTGAAACAAAAATCACGACCAATAAAAAGGCATAGACTGCAAGAAATAGTTTAAATTTCAAAACAGGATGGCAACAAGGTTTTAGTAATGACAAATCTTAATGTGATTAGTGATTTCACGTGTTTTTATTGTCGGATTGCCTCCATCGACACAAAACTCATTTGACAAGAGCTTCAATAAGCTCGTTTTCAAGGTTTTTAGCTTTAATCTTTTAAAAATTTGTGGCCTAGTAGACAATCGTACATCAAATTCCCATTAAGCACGTGTAAATACGACCAGCATTTAGAAGGTTTGTCAAACTTTTTGCCATCAATGTTGTGCATTTAACTCAAGTTTTGGCATCTTCTAAAGGCTTTTAAAGCAGTAAACTCACTTTGTGACGTCTGGAAGCCACTGTACAGTAAGGCTAGGCCATTCTAATGCGTGTGTCATGACCAAATCGTACAAGAACGGCGTATTCTTCTTCCATATTTTGTACTCTTCATTGATAATTCTCTCCTCGACCGCTTCGTCGAAGGGCTCTGGGGCAAAATGCATAAACAGATAAGCAAAAATTTCAAATAAAATGGCAAGAATAAACTCTGATAAAGCCTTACCGTTCTCTTTAGGGGAGCCAGACATCTTTGGATGAGAAAAAAGGAATTTTTCCGACGCCGGAATCAAAAACTTGAAAGCAAAGAAAGACAGATTATGGCGTGCGTATTCCCCGCCAAATGGTGTAGCACGTGACTATGACTGGCCAATCAAAACACAACTTAGCTGGGTAAGACCGCTGAAATGAGAAAAAAAGAAAAGATGGAAAAAGAATGGGAATAAATGGGAAGAAAAACAAAAAAATCCCTTTTCAAGAAAAAATATTATAGTTCTGAAAGAGTTAATTATATTCAATATTTTCATTTCTGATAAATATTTTAGGATTTATCAAAATTTAAACCTTC